CGGCGGGGCCGGGCCGCCGGGCCGTCAGCACCAGCTGGTGCCCGGTGGGCGCCGCCTTCGATGCGAAGCAGCAGCAGCAGCAGCTGCGCGGCGGCGCGGCGGGCCCGGAGACGGTGAGCGGAGGGAGGGGAAGGGCCTGCGGCAGGCAGGAGGCGGCCCTGGCTGCCGGCAGCCTTGCGCTTGGCTTTTCTTGTGTGTAAATTTTTGTTGCAAAACTCTTAAATCCACGTGGCGGGGACAGCCGGGCGGTTACCGGAGTGTTGGGCGGTGACATTTTTGTAAGGGTTTGTTTTGGTTGTAATGAACCACAAAGCATGATGCCTTCTGGACACCCGAGTTTGAAAATTAAGGCCTTGTTTATTGAAACATTTGCTTAGGGACTCAGTAGAGACCGGACGTATATATATGTGCATTACTCCTTCCACTCCCTGCTCTTACCTGACAGGGTCTTTTTTAATTCGCCAGCGTCGTGCCAATGCAGTTGGCTGTGCCTCACAAATCAGACTGCTGACATCCTCTTGCCAGGGATATCGTTCTTGGCTTTCGGTTGCTTGTGCCAATAAAGCATTTCTTTGCTGGGTTAGTGACACTTGGGACCTTCCATTAACTTGTCTTTAGGATGAGTCAGATACGTTTGTTAATGAGAGCACTGGGAATCTAAACAAGTTCCTGGACAGCATGAGATGGGTATTTTCAATGGCACCGTGCTGTTTGTCTGCTAGCTCAGCTATTCCAGCCACAGTTCTCGAGGCTGGTGAAGCTGTTGGGGGCTCAGTGAGGGCAAATCTGACCTCTGATTATACTCCAGCATTTGTTTGGGAAACGTTTCTTCTGGCTCTGCTGCCTCTGTAAGCACACTGGTGTAAATCTTACTCCAGGAAATAATCCAGTTAAATACTGTGCATTTGCCTGGTCTAGGGATCAAGTTCTAGGTTTGCTTGGCCCGTGGAGAGGATGTAGAATTCTTTGGGAACAGAGATGCATGTTTCAGGCTTGCAAAGAGGCTGTGACAGGTAGGGTGTAAATGCTGAGGCCAAGCAAAGAGAATAATGCTGCAGTTGTGCAACCACACAGTTAAAAAACACAGAGACCTACACCAGGCTTCATTTTTTAATATTATAAAAATTTTTATGTCAAACTTGGTGTCGTATGGAAGAGGAGCTCCGTGGCTAATTGATCTATGAGATGATACCTCGTGTTCACAGAGGACTACAAGCAGAGGAGGAGCTCACTTGGAAGGGTGAATAGCGATGGAGGGCAGCAGGAAGGCCAGGAGCTTTCTGGGACATTGCAGGACACAGCCTCAGCTGGCTGAGGACTGGAGGGAAGGGGCAGTCTTGAGTCCCTTATACAGCAAGCGTTAGGGAAGGGTCGTGTGGTACATGTATACCTATGTTTGTGTGCATGTGTTTATATACCCTTGTAAATATATAAAAATGTCTTTTGCAATGTTCATTTCAGTCCAGTTCCTGTTTCCAAATAATAAATTACAACATGGCAAGTGTGAGAAAACTTTCTGTTTTAGGGTGGCCAGCTTATAGTAAGAGCACTACGGAACAAAAAAGGCAGTTTTTGCAACAGTGACAGAAAGACAATAGGAAATAGCAACTCGGAATGTCCCATATAATTACTTTAGAGTATGCTTTTGTTTCAGAATATATACTTTCAGAGATAAGCTGTCAATCTGCAGCTTTTTATTTGATTGAATAACTTGGAAGCTTTATGCAAACCTTCAACTGACTGCTATAATAAAGAGTTTGGAGAACGTGCATTTTAAAGTGTCTGGCCTGCGGATTTTCAAATCCAGCTAGTGATTTTTAGATCCTGAGGTTAAATTTGAGAAGGGATGGATGTTGTGTGAAAACATGTACCTTGTACTGGTAGTTAGGAGGTAAGGAGATGATCATGTTGTAGTTAAGCAGTTGCAGAGGGAGTGTACTGCTTGCAGAGATGCTGTTTTATCTTAAATGAAATGTTTTTACTTTAGGCTTGTATTGTGCAACTTCTGTAGCAGGTAGCGATAGCAATTTTGTTCGATCTGCAGTAGAACCTTTTTCATTCTCTTCAACAAATGCGGAACATAACTGTTGTCTGTGTCTACCCTGCCCATCAGTATGTTTACCCTGCTCTGTTTGACAGGGCTAGACTTGGTAAGAACTTCAGGAATAAAACTGTTCATGCCATAAAATTTTTGAGTTGTTCGTGATCATTCCTTTGAGATCTGGTTCCAGTATTGGGGGCTTATTTAATGAGCCTGAGACAGCTGTCCTATTGTCTGCAATCTGTTCATATCTAGAGCTGCTGGCTAATTTATCTGCTGTTTTGACAGTCCTGCTTAGTCCTGACATTCCTTGATAAGTCTTTTTTTGCATCAGAGGGATAATTTTTCCCATTTCAGAATGTAAATGAACTTCCTATGATTTATCTGGTGCCCATGCTTTGGAAGCAAGATAAAAAATGCTTTGAGAAAAGGATGATATAGGAGGTATGGGGTGGGAGAGGAGAGTTTGTGGGGATTTGGTACTGAACTCTTAAGGTTTGCTGAGAACAGTCCTGGCTTAAAGAAACTCAGTGAGGTTTTGCTCTGGGAAATAAAGATGTTATGTGGTATGTCTTTGATTTTGTGACTATTATATCTGCAAATATATTCGTGTGGGAATGTTTTAGTGAAGTGTCACAATGTGCTAGCTAGGGTCATTTTGGTAAAATTTCGTGGTGATAATTTCATTCTGAAACAAAGGGACAGAAGTCGAGAAGGGTAATGGTGATGTGTTTTCACTGTGTTGTGCACTGCAGGGTCTGTTTGGTGTTCCAGAGCTGAACTGTCCAGAAGGATTTCAAGAAGCACAGAACAGAGCATTGCAAGAATCAGAACAGCTAGTCCAGAAAGCATGTTCAACACCACCAGGGCCAGAGACCGTAATGATCTTTGATCAGCTTTCAGATGGCTTGTGCAGAGTAGCTGACTTGGTAAGTTACTTTTTTAATTATTACTTGAACTGATTTCTTTTAAACTGACTGACTTAAAAAGCTTGCACCGTGTTTTTCCTTTTTATGATTTTCTACACTGCAGTAAATAGCAGACCAGCTCTGTGAAATTTTGTGTTGACAGAAAATTAAATTGATTGAAAATTAATTATAAAGGCTTTTACGAAATTATAGGTAACTACAAATCCTGTCAAAGTGACCAGTTAATTTTGACAGGTGTAAAAATACTATAAAGGCCACAACAAGAAAAGTAACAGTGAAATTAGAATTGTATTCCTGCTGTAATATAAATACATAAGCTTTCCAGTGTCACATTATGGAAAACAGGGGGTTGGTCTCAAAGCAGGGGTTGTAATACACATGTTTTTAAGTTTAAGTTTTTAAGAATTGCAGATTAAATGCAACAGTGAAAATAAACAGTATTGCCTTTTATTAATACAAGAAAAAATGCAAGTATTTCCTAGATTGTAGTTTCTGTGGTCCACGGAATTAGAGTACTTGGTCTGATATTCTGTATCACATAATATTAAGTTTAATGGAGAACTTTGTATTGTGCACTGGAAACTCTTTCCCCAAAGTACATCTTTTATCAAAGCATCACTCTGTTTGAAGGAAGCAGACCCTTTATACTGAAATCGGTTCTTAATAAATAGGTCACTGAATTTTTTGACTTTGGGTTTCACATTCTAGTTTCTCTGTGTGTTTTCAGTTCCCAAATCTTGTTTCTTAATCTTTTCTAGATTCAAGACATCGTTTGTGCCAGGGACTTTTTTTTCTGAAAGTACTTAACATGCCCTCTTGAGTCACTGATTCTCCTTTTGTCTCTTATATTTTACATAGACTATGACTAATTCCTCTTAATCAATCAATATCTAACTAAAACACTAATGTCAGAATTCAGTAGTCATAGTTTCGTTTCACTTTGCTGAGTTAAAATTGCCTCCTAGGTATATTTTCAGGTTTCTGTGTTCAAAGAAAGATGCAGAGCTTGCAGAGCTCTGTCTGTAAGCAATTTAATGGTTGTTATCTGTTGGCAGGAATTTTAAGATCTGTGATTCAGCACCTATCTTGTCAATATTATACAGGATTTTAAACAGGGATTCTAAGAAGTAAATATCTTAAGTATATAACATTTAGTTAATTAGTTTATTAAAATAGTGTGACCAGCAGAAATAGGGAGGTGATAGTCCCCCTGTGTTCTGAACTGGTGAGGCCACACCTTGAGTATTGCGTCCAGTTTTGGGCACCTCAATATGAGAGAGATCTCGAGGTGCTGGAGTGAGTGCAGAGGAGGGCAACGAAGCTGGTGAAGGGCCTGGAGAACAAATCCTGTGAGGAGAGATTGAGGGAGCTGGGACTGTTCAGTCTGAGGAAGAGAAGGCTGAGGGGAGACCTCATCACTCTCTACAGCTACCTGAAAGGACATTGTAGAGAGGTTGGTGCTGGTCTCTTCTCACAGGTAATGAGCGATAGAACAAGAGGGAATGGCTTTAAACTGCAACAGGGGAGGTTTAGACTGGACATTAGGAAAAAAATTTTTCACAGAAAGAGTGGCCAGAGAGTGGAATAGGCTGCCCAGGGAGGTGGTGGAGTCCCCATCCCTGGGTGTGTTTAAGGGTTGTTTGGATGAGATGCCGGGGGATATGGTGTAGGGGAGAACATTGTAGAGCAGGGCTCGTGGTAGGACTCGATGATCCCAAGGGTCTTTTCCAACCTGAATGATTCTGTGATTGTGTTTTCAATCAAATGGCAGTCATGCTGTTGAACAAAGTTAAGCTTGTTTCATGTACTTTCTGTAAAATCATGCTGAATGTCTTCAATGTATTCCTAATTTTTAATTAAATGTATTCCTAATCTTTAATTCTTTATCATTTTAATGCCAGAACTTCCCTGAATTCATGCTGGCAGTCATGGAAGGACCTAGCTCCCCAGCCCCCTTTTCATATCCCTCTAGCCTTCTGAACTCTTTTAAGTATTTGGAGACTTACTAAGAATCAGTAATAATAAAAGCCCTGTTCTGAATCCAGAATAACTTTGGGGTTTTCTCTTTAAAGATATTTCTTCCTAGTAGGTAATGATGTCAAAGCATAACTTGATGGTGTGTACACAAGAGTAAAAGAGTTTGAAATCAAAGCCTCTATGCACATTTGGTGGTGTGCTTTCTTCTTAACTGTGAACTTTATTTTAAAAAATATTTTATAGCATTTAAATACGTTGGAGTATCTCTGTGTTGTAAGGACTCCAAGATACACACCATACTAAAAATGTTTTCAAGAATTATATGGATTAAAGGTATTTCTTAGAGACTCCTTCACAGTCTGATTTAATAGTTGTCAGCAGTTTTCCAGTAAGCTTTATTTTTTAGAAAAAAAACCCAAATTCTGCAGATAGGTTGCACAGAACTGTAGAAGTAAATGTTAATGTAAATGGAACTAGTTGAGTGCAACTTTGTTTATAATTCAAGGTTTTACTTGTCTTTTTGCCTCACTCTTTTCTTCTTCTATCTCAGGCTGATTTTGTGAAAATTGCCCATCCTGACTTTGCATTCAGAGAGGCTGCTGAAGAAGCTTGCAGGAACATTGGTACTATGGTAGAGAAGTATGTTTTCTTCTTTTTTATTATTTTTCTTTTTTATTTCCATATGCATCTGTATGATCATCTATGAAAACAGCAATCAACAAAAAAATATGTATGAAAGATTTGCATGTGAGAACAAAGTGTCACTGTTGCTGTGACAAATATTTAGGGATTTAGTGTTGTTACAATATCTCATGAAAGATATTATAGTTTCAATTTATGTTCTGAACAGTTTGTAAGTTATCAACTAACTGACTTCATGTCACTGAAACCCATCAAAGATTCAGAGCTACATTTTTTTAGGACTTGTGACAGTTAACTAGCTGCTGTGAAGCATATGTACAAAATGCTAATTTGTTTTTAAGATTTCAGCTGTTATATTGTGCAACACTTTCTTGTGGTTTGCTGACCCCTTAAATTCCAGCCAGTGAGTGAAGTATGTGGAAGAGGAAGGCATAGTCTCCTGTTAAAAGGATTATTTGAGTATGTGTCTGTCTAAGTCTGTGATACATGCCTGGTCTACCCTGTCATGCTTGTGCTTTATTTAAAACCCCATTTCATGTACAAGTCCTGAAAGACTTCTGTTTCTGAGGTTTGGGTCTTCTTCAGGTCCTGGGGTTTTTGATTTTGTTTGGCTTTTTTTGTTAATATTTTAGAACCTAAATCCTGAAAGTTACTTCTGTGGCCCTTGACTACAGTGAATTGATTTGCTTCTCTTCTGGTTTGGTTGCTGAAAAGGTGGAAAGGGGTAATCTTTCCAAATAGTGTCCTTTCAGTCTCTTCACTTCCTGTTGCATTTGGGAGTACCCTTCTTAAGTGAAGGCTTTACCAAGCAGTACTGTGAAGGTGACCCAGAGTCTGCTGCTTCCCTCAGGGTTCCTAATAACAGTGGAGGCAGTGATAGGTTGACAAGGTGTCCCACAGTAAGTTGCAGAGGCAGAGTGAAGGCTTTTGTACTTGGAGGAGGACAGCAGTGCATCAGTTTGTTTAGTAAGCCTTGTGACTAAGATGGCTGGCTAAAAAGAGAATTTTAAGATTAAATTCAGCAGAAACTGTTGCTTTGGTCTTGCCAGTGTTTGGAAACGTTTCACTTGAAACTGGGTATTTCAAGACTTAGATTGAGCACACCATATATAACAATATGACTTTAATATCTGAATTACTGCTTCAGATTTAAAATTTGTAGAGAGAAGAAAGTATTCACAGATTAACCGGAGACGTTCATAAACTGTTGTAAATGCTCAAAACTGGCTATTGTTGAATGTTTGCTTTCATGGGCAAAACGTATTTCTCAGGAACTACTAACAGTACATACCTGCTTTTAGCCACTCTTTGATAGGTGCTGGGCTTCTTCTTTAGCACCTTCTGTACAGAGCCTTTTCTGAAGTACAGGCATGATGCAATGTTGTGTTTTGTGTCTGAATTGGGTATTGGTAATTATTAAGTCATTTTACAAATGGGGCTGCAGAGGCTTCCTGCACCTCAGCTGATTTAAGAAGTTAGTGTGCGTGACAGACTAGGGGCTGCTGCCCACTGCAACTATGCTGATGTATATGCGTGTTTTATTCCCCACTGTGATTCCCACCCAGTAATCCAGGTTGACATACGTGCTTGTAGTTATGCCAAAAAACCTGATGGACATAGTATTTACTGGCAGAGGGACAGTGATGAGTGTCTGGAAATGTTCTGGGGGTATTAAGATCTTAGTCTACTTCAGTGGCAACCAGCAGCACATTTATCTGATGGCAAACTTGAACACAGATTTTCCTTTAATAGAGTCCTTTCAAAATAAGGATTAGAAAACAATTTTCCTACCTGTATGCTCTCCCCGTGATTATCTTTGTGAATAAAAAATAAGCTGTCAGTCTTAGACTTGCTTGTATTTGCCACAAAATGCCATCCAGAAGTATTTTTCTATTGGATACACAAGACCTGTTTCCATGCTAGTTTGTCTGCATATCTTTTGTATACAGATTTTTTAGTTTAGAAGTGTGGTTGTGAAATTATTTTGAAAATACAGTCCTTGGGTTTTGATGTTGCTCCATTGAGTACTAAGCTCTGCCTTTGAGTAATACCAAGAGACTGAAATATTAGTGTTTGTTGCTAATAGGGGATTCTTTTACTCTGTATCTTTCCAGATTAAACACAGATGTTGAACTGTGTCAGAGTTTGAGACGTCTGCTAGCTGATGAAATTGTTATGCGTTCCCTAGATCCAGAAACCAGGTACTTACTAATATTTGTAGATTTAGATTTTTATGTAGTATATATCATTCCTTATTGTGCTTATGTTTTGTGTTTTGTTAAATAATACAACTGGAAAACACATACCAGATCTATGTTAATAATTTATTAGTCACTACTAAGATAACTGCACAGGAGTTAGGAAGTTTGTAGTTGTATAGTGTTGGAGGATGTCTCTGTGACTGTAGAGCACCAGATATATTTAAGCTGAATAATTGAGATCTGCAAAAACAAAAAAATGAGAATGTAAGCTTTTCTTCAGTAATACCATTTTGATTAAAATGAGGTGCTGTACTGTGTATATATCAGTGTTTTTAGCAATAAAAGTAGGGAACAGACTATAACGACTTCAGTTTATAGAAATACGTATCTTTCAAAATCAGATTATCAGTATATTTATGTAAATCTTACTCTGTCATTGCTGTAAAATGTTTTATTAGCTGCTTATTCAGTTGTAGTTTTTAATTGTTTGTTTGCTGACATATTTAGACAAGTTTAATGGTTGAGTAAGTTACTTCCTCCTTTCTTCTTTCCCCACAGTCAGGGATGTTAGATTTGAAGAGGTCTTTTTCTGATCTGTTAATATAAATGAAGTGTCAAAATGGTAATTTCCACAAATTGGTTAAACATCTAAACTTATGTAGTAGAATTATTTTGAAGGATATTTTCAATGCAGATGACTAAAATAACTGCAAAGAAAAAATCCTGTTCCCCTGAGTAAACTATTAAGGACCTAAACTGTAGGAAGTCTGTGTCCGTAATAACAATACTCATATAACTGTGTATTCTGTGTAAAAGGCATGAAATCTAAATAACTACTAAGGGGAAAATCTATTAAGAAATTATGCTTACTATCAAATGAGGCTGTTTTAACAGGGGTTTACTGTATTTTTAGGCGAGTGGCAGAACTTTTTATGTTTGATTTTGAGATCAGTGGCATTCATTTGGATGAAGAAAAGGTAATTTTTGGCTACAATATATAAACAGAAATTTGCCTGACTATGAAAGACCAGATAATGAAACGTGTAGAACATGAATCACGTGATTCTGGGCCAGTTTGTCCTCCAAGATTCCTACTGTCCTCTGTGGAATTTTGTCTTCTGAGAAGTGATTAATTTTGTCTATTTAAAATCACTTCTAAAGTGTGTTTTTTAATGTTGTAGATGTTAGTTGGCTGTTCTTCCCAGTTTGACTCTTACTTTGTCTGTTCTGAAGAGTTACAAGCAAGATGTGGGAGCCTGCTTTCTTTGATTGGTGTTTGCATCAGATATTTAAAATAGCTGCTTAGCTGTCTGAACAACCTGTTTACAGAGGGGGAAAAGCAGCACCCTGTGCACTGTGATGACATGTTAATCAAGTAGAGCATTCTAGAAGGGATCAGATGTGTGTCCAGGCTCTCTTTTAGTGCTCACATAACCAGAAATTGTAAATCTTGTTCAAAATTGAATGTCTGGGCATGGTCTGATTACCTCTGGTGGAGATTTTACATGCTTTTGCAGTAGTTAGTGTTGGATTTGCCAAATCCATCAACTTTCACTATGCTTTGTGGTATGGATGCTTTGTTGGATGTCTGTTCATAGCTCATGTCCCTGTATAAAGTTAATACCTTGTTTATCTGAGTCATCCCCTCCACCTCAAAAGATCTGTACAAAGGCTCTTTTATGAAGTTAGTTGGAAAATCATGGTTGTGATGGTGGTTTGTGACCTGGAAAATGCTTCTAGAATATATTTTTAGAATTACTTTGTACAAAGAACAGCTCTGAAACTTGGACTCAGGATTTTATTTCTAAGTTGACTGTTGGCTCTACGCTGCTTCATCCCCTTTCAGTTACAATTTCATTTGTCCCTTATTTTTGCACATTTTCCTCTTCCTCCCCTTCCTGTTCCACTTTTCTTCTGTTGCTTGATGCTCAGTGTTTCTTTTCAATTCTCATTTCAGACTTTAGAAATTCTTCACTGTTGTAAGTTGAGATTTACTTCTGGTATAAAGAATTTCTGCTTTTAAAAATAAAACTCAGAAGATGTATTCTAGAGTAAGGGTGGAATGGGAGGACAGAGCAACAGGTTCTGTCATTCTTTGGACTTTACAAGTGTGTTGTATGCACACCCTCAGGCTTTTCTTTTGATCTGTGAACCCACCCACAGACAACAGAGAGCATACTCTACTAACATGAGCAAGTTCACTGAAGCAAATTTTACAGTAAGGTTAAATGTGTGAAATACTGTAATGATGGTGATAAAACCCTAAATCACAAACTCCTCAGGGAAAGGTTGAAATACCATGAGTGCTTTACATTCTCCAGAAAATAGTGCAATAGAAACAGTAACAAGCAAACTAATTCTGTATCTATTTCAGGATGCTAGTAGGATTTATCTGTCTCAGTGATGCTTCTTTTTTTCTCCTCTGTTTTACATAGCAATCATATTAGGCATAGTTTTATAAATGCTTTCAAAGCAGGTAGAAACATTTATGTAAATTCTATTTAAATGCCACTGCACATTTTTTTACTGCAGAAACAGACATTTTCTTTTGAATTTCAGTCCTTTATGAAATAATAGATCTGTACTTGTTGACTTCAGCCCTACATTAGGATTTTGTTGATGCTCTATGTCTAATCTTAAATGTTGTATTTTCTGCTTCATTTCTGGAAAAGTCTTTTAAGGTTTTAGAAACTTTGAGTTCTTCTTATACAGTGTCTGATGACATTATGTATTTTGTACTTTATTTTTCTTATAGCGTAAAAAGGCAGTCAACCTCAACGTCAGAATATTGGATTTATGTAATGAATTTCTGTCAGGAACTCACCTTCCCAACAAGATTGACAAACATGTTTTGCCAGAGCATATTCGGTATAATTTTACAGCTGAAGGCAATTACTTACAAGTTGCTGGTCTGCATGCTGATTGTCCCGATGATCTGGTGCGTATTCCCTGAGTTTGCTTGGCATACACTATGACAAAAGTGCCTATCAATTATTTTACGTGTTATTGAGGCAAATGCATATGGTTTATGATTATGATGTTATGACTAGCAAGGAAGAACTGTTTTAGAACATCATAATTGATGGCAGCTAGTGGCTGTGAAATAATGGTGAAGATCTTGAATGGGTTGAGGAAAAAGAGGAGCAGAATGTAGACCCTGGATTTATGGCAAGCAGACGAGCTTATTCAGTACACTGTGAGGTGGGATCCCATGGGACACAGCTCTAAAGGGTAAAGGAGCTCAGGAAAGCTGACAGTTCTTTAAAGGAAGCATCCTTCAAGGACATGAGGATAATAAGATATTCAGTATCAGTGCATCCCGATCCTTAGAAGGCCAAGCAGATGTATCAGGAATCAGGCCTGGCAAGCAAGGAACTCATGACAAAACTTCATTTCCAAAAGGTAGCAGAGGTGGAAGCAAGTACAGGGTACAAGGGAGGAGTTTAGAAATATTGCCTGTATGTGTGAGGATGATGTCAGGAAGGCCAGAGCTCTACTGCAGTTGAGATTTGCAAGGGTCATCAAAGGCAACAAGAAGAGCAAACACTGCTGCATTAGTACTGAAAGGCTACACAAGGAAAAGGTGGGCTCAGTGCTGAGTAAGTTGGGTGATTTAGTGTCAGCAGACATGGATAAGGCTGAGATGCTGGTCGCTTTTTTTTGCCTCGGTGATCACCAGTGAATTCTGGCCCACTGTGCTTAGTGAAGGGGTTCAAAGGGACAAACAACCAGGTGAGGAACCAGTTTGGGATTACTTCAGAAAACTCAGCCTGTACAAGTCGTTGGGACCAGATGGACTGCATCCAGAGGTCCAGGGAGACCTGGCTATTGTCCCTGAAAGGCTTGCCATCTTTGGTAGGCTGTGAAGATCAGGGAAAAGAACCCCAGTGGCTAGTGGAAATAATATGTTCCACACACCTTCAGGAAGGCCCAAAGTCTGCAAATTGGGAAACTACAAGCAATTTAGCTTTACTTTGATCCCTGTGAAGGTTATGGAGCAATTCAAGTTAGGAGACTACAGTCTGGATTGATGGAGAACCATATGGGTAAAAAACCCTGATTTCAGTATGGGACTTAGTAGTGATTGAAGTGCTGTCCTCTACTGGAAGGCTGGTAATGAAATAGTGTTGTAGGGAACTGTTCTGGAATGTTTCTTGTTTGGTATCTTTATCAATGACATAGAGAAAGTGACAGCATCCTTGCCTATTAGATTTGCAGGTGATAGCAAATTGGAAGGAACAGTGATACACTGAAGGACAGGGCTGACACTGAGTGGCCTAGAGGGAGTGGTCCAGTGGGAACCTTATGTAATTCAAGAACGACAAATGTGAAGTCCTGCATCTGGAAAGGGAAAATTCCTGGCAATAGTAGAGGCTGGGACTGCCTGGCTGGCTCTGATCTGTTGAAAAGGCCCAGAGAGTTGATGAGCAACAAGTTGAACATGAGCCAGCAGTGACCCCTGGCAGAAAAGAACACCAACAGCATCCTGCACTGCATAAACAGGGCCACAGCCAGAGACTGAGGGAAGAAATTATAACTTTTTGTCACTCTTCAGGAGTGACTTCAGCGAAGGCTGCCAAGATGGCCAGGAACTGGAGTGCTTCCTGTGAGGAGAGGCTGAGGGATCTGGGCTTTTTCACCCTGCAGCAGAAGTGGCTTTGGGGGGACCCTGACAAACAGCCTGCCAGTATCTACAAGGATATCATGGAGAAGATAGAGCCAGTCTTTTCAGAGTGGTGCGTGACAGGACAAGTGGCAACAGGCACAAGTTGAAGTAAGCAATGCTAGTTGGAGAAGTTTTTCCTGATGACAGTACTCGAAAGGTGAAATAGAGAGGTAGGTCATACTGTCTTTCCTATCTGTGCAGGTTTCAATGCCTGGCTGGAAAAAGCTTTGTGCAACTTGGTCTTACCTCATAGCTGACCCTCTTTGTGCAGGAGGTTAGATTAGAGACCTCCTGAGGTTTCATCTAACCTGAATTATCCTGAATATTACTATTTTAATTATTTCTAGTGATGCTCTTCTAAAAATTCCTTTAGCGATTGTTTATAAATTGAAAATTAATTTAGACTCTTTGAAATGTGACAGTGGTTCCTCAGTCTTTTAGATATGACTGCAGGATCAGGAGTGTAATACAAGTGTACTGTTTTCACTTTCTATATAGTTAAATAATCGAGGTGACTTTGAAATCTTGTTTATCATGAAAAAGAGAAAAGCTTATTGTGGTAGAACCCAAGCTGTAATATTTATTTTCTGTAAGAAATTAAAAATTAATTAAATTATGGCACTGATAGGATGTAAATAAAGGAATAATACTCACTGCATGTCATTTATAAACTCTTGTCCTCAAAATAGTGTGATCTGTAGAATTGCTACTGAAGCTATGAGTAATATATCAATTAAAGAATATCGTTCTCGGAGTCACAGCTTTGGAGAGGCTTATTGGAAATCATATAATTTAGGTTGGAAGGGGGAGCTTGTCAGTTTGAGGCTGATACTGTTCAGAGCAGGATCAAGTAGGTCAGGTTTCTCAGTAACATGTTCAGTTGAGTTTTGAACACTTTCCAAGGAAGTACATTTCATTACTTCTTTGAACAGTCTGTTTGACCACCCTCATTGTTGTTTGTTTGTTTTTTTCTTGATATCAAATTGGAATTTTCATCTTCTAGCTTGCTTCCATTATGTCTCCTCCTCTTGCTCTGCACCTCCAAGAACAGTCTGGCTGCATGTCCTCTATGCCCTAGCGCTAAGTTAGGCCGGACAAACCAAGCTCTTTCAGACTCTGTTCTGTGTTGTGTGCTCCAAACATCATCTTGACCCTACGCTGGACCCACTCCAGTATGCCAGTGTCTTACCTGTACTGCGGAACTCAAGTTTGGACATTGTACTTCAAATATAGTCTGGAGAGTACCAAGTAGAGGGAGGCAGTCACGTCTGTGGACCTGTGTAATCTTTCTAATAGAGCTCAGTATGCTGTTGATCTTTGCTGCAAAGATACACTGCTGAACCATGTTCAAGGAATGGGAATAATCTCGCTTATTTTATTTGCTTTTTAAAAAAATGAAAGCTTGGTAGAACACAACAGGTGCAATATGACTTGTGAATTATTATAGTCATATTTTTTATAAACACAGGACCTCTGTTGTTGATTATATTATGCAAGAGAATCTTATTTTAAATGAGGAGAAGCATAAGTTGTTGCTAGATTTCTTAAGCTTATTCTATACATACAAAATAAAGATTATCTTCAGTTGGTTTTTGAGTTTTTGAAACATAAAAAGCATTTTACTAAATTTTCTAAGGCTTGAGGTAATTTTTTTTTTTTTTTTTTTTTCAAGAAAACCCCCAAACCAGAAGTAGGAGAAAGACTGATTGTCTGTGGCAGATGGGCAGACTAATAGCTTGCTACTTCAAAAGAAATAAGGCTTTTCTCTTCCTCTTTTTTTTAATCTCCCCTGACCCTGTTTCTGGTTCTTGTCAGATCCTTCTATAAGATAGCTTAGTTGATGTGCAGAGAACAACTTGGCTTTTTTTCTGGGTTTATTTTCAGCAGTTTTACTGAGTTAAGACAGCCTGCAGAGTGGTCTGAGAAGCACAGATGTTGGCAGAAGGAGGAGGGCAGTGAGCAGAGAGGGGACTGTTGACAGGAGTAGAGAACAGGACCCTTTCTGGCAGTCTTGATGTGTTACGTTGTCTCATTGCATTTCCTCATTCCATCTTTAACGGATAAGAGAGCTGTAATTGTCAGGCAGTCATAATTACCATTGTTAAAAGACTTTAGGCCTTTTCCCAACAATATCAGTGAAATACAGCTGTAATGCCAGATCTTCAATGCATCACTTATTTCCCTTTAAATCTGTACTGTAGTAATGTGACCTTTTAATAATTTTTTTTTGTATTAGGTGCGAGAAGCTGCTTACAAGATTTTTCTTTACCCAAATGCTGAGCAGTTGAGCCGTTTAGAAGAATTGCTTGCTAGCCGAAACAGTCTGGCACAGCTGGTTGGGTATGACACCTTTTCCCACAGGGCTCTTCAGGGAACCATGGCCAGAAATCCAGGTATAAGGCATGTGTGGAAGGACATACTGAGAAATTCAATGCACTGTGTTAGGTATGAGATTAAAAGTTGTTAGTTTCTTTTGCTGAGTTTACACATATTCTTCTAGTGAAGTACCTTATTGCATTTACATTTTTGCTATATGCAATACTCATGCTTTCTGTAAATGGCAGTACTTATTGAGTAGGAGCTAGTGTTTTTTTTCAGAATCAGTGCTCACTCCATAGATGATGAAGTTGCCATTATCCCAGCATGTAACAAAGTAAATGCAGTACTAAATTCTCTTGAAATGATGGCACAGTGGTCAGTGGAGTAGTTTGTTGTTCTAAGGGAGTTTGTTTTGTGTGGAATGTTTTAATGTAAGCTTAACATCTTTTAAGGGAAGAAATTGCTTTCTTAATCCCCCCCCCCCCATTTTTAAGACAGTTTTTGGAGAAGCTTTCTGACCAGTTGTCTAAAAGGTATGTCTTTTTCACTAAGTTGTTTTTCTGACTGTACTCTTTCTTTCAAGAACAGAAGGGACTTGTGCCCTAAGTCAGTCAGTGTTGCTTATTATATGCTCTGATGAAACAAAAAGCAAGACTCTCTCAGACTTTTATGGGAGCTGTTGGTTTAGAATAAATGCTGTGTCTGATCAGAGAACATCCAGGACTGAATGTAGCAAGTGATGTGCCAAGAAATGCAGGCAACAGCAAACAAGACCAAGTTTAAGTGAAGAACACCTCTCCTGGTCTTCTCCGCATACTCACAACTCCATGTTTTACATCTATAAGTAAATTCCCCTGTTTGTCCTTCTTGCCTCCCTTATTTCCACACAGCACAAACCAGTTTTATCACTGTGTATAAATGGGGTGTATTGTAAGAAATAAAATGCTTTAAAGGCGTGCAACCAGAGTAAGAGGGACTTGATTTGAAGGTACCCAAATGACAGAAGCAGAATGGAAAAGTTCTTTTACTGTAGTATATGGGCCTGCCATTTTATAGAGAACTATCAATCTTAAATGATTGGCATTTTCTTAGTACAGAATATTATTGTATACTGTATTTTGTCGCTCAAAAATATTTCATTATTACTTTCATAATAAAAAATATTTTTCAGAACTCAAAAAGATTTTGAAATGATGACAAAGATGAAAATGAAGCTCAACCCCCAGAATTCAGTAAGACAAATTTTCATGTGTGTTTTTCTGGTTTGTTTCTTTTTAAAAAATACAGTATAAGCTAACCTTGTTCTTCAAGAAGAATTATCTTTAATCCAACATGTAGTGTAATTAAAGAAACTTTTTTGTCTTCTGGCTTCAAATTCTTTTTGACTGCTTAGCTATTTGTATTAAAACTAGGTGTTGAGTGTGAGATAATTCAAAACAAAGTCATATACACTTTTACCACTTTTTGTTATGGTTAAGTGACTCATTTGAAAAATAAAGGCTGTACTTTAGGTTAGATGCATGTCCAGTTTGCATACTGTATTGTATGTAGCCTAATTCTGTACATAGCTAGGTTTATCTTTTTATTTGAGTGTATTTCTTGATATCTGGTATGAAGTCCCATGATATATCTGAACAAGAAGAACCATCTTCAAGTAAACATTAAAAGTTTCAAGTTACGATACATGATGCTATATTTCTGATTGTTTTTAGCACTGAATGCTTCCCATTATGTTTTAAAGTTCTGTGGATGGTTGAAACTGCAAAAATACTCAAAGGAAACAAAACCTTTACTTTGGGTTCACTTGTTGTCCATTGTTGTAATTATAAGCTTGAATTCTCTTTCAGAAGCTGATGCCGTGGGATCACCCTTACTACAGTGGCGCCCTTCGTGCTGAGAGGTAAGCTCCTTATTTTCATGATTGTAATGTAAATGAGTGTCTTTATTTAATTTCTTGCAATAAGGATAAAGAAAATCCTCAATGTAAACAGGTTTTCCTTCTTTGAAGATGTACTTCAATATGAAAAAAAAGAAGTATTTGGTGGGGTAGTTGTTTGTAACATTTCTTAGTTACTGCTAGAATGTCTAGAAGTTTTTGGCTCCTCTGTTGTTTTATGGGGAAGTATTGGCCCTCTTTGAAGCTGTAAGAGGATGAAACTGTTTCAGAACAGCTAGAAAATCCTTATTCTTGTTTTGTTTTTAGCTCTTAGCAGAGCTGCAATAATTTAAAAAATAAACTTTGATCACCGAATACAATTCAATTTCTCTCATATTTTAACTGTATTGTACTTCTTACTGAACATAAAACTATCATCTTCTACAGACTTGAAATAGTGACTTCTTGAGTAGATCTTCACTGTTTATGAATAGAATTCATTCTCATCTCCCCTGCAGAGACTGGGAAATAAATCCTCTACACAGACTTAAATAGTGCTCAAGACCTCTGCACATAATAAGATGCCAGCTCTGAAAGATATGAGCTCTGCATGTTGCTTTTATTAGATCAGCAGCAGTGACCTTTTAGATTTGTGTTGGAAAAGATAATTTAAAGTTGTGCTTCTCTCATAAGAGAGGGAGGAAGAACCTTCACTGCAGATTTGTAAGTTTTTGTTTGTTAAATAAACTTAGATGGGATGTATCTGATCAAAGTAGCAGTTTACTCTGGAACAGAAAGCTATGGTAGTATAGACATGGCATGGGAGGATTGACCAGCAGTTGTCCTGGCTGTTCTGCTGCTTTCTTGTACTTTGTTACCGAGGCAGTAGTTTTATGAGCAGAAGCTCTAATACTGGCCTTGTCTTAAGCTACTGCATGCTCAGATGAGGGCTGAGCTATGTATGTGCAGCAGTGTTTGTGTCCAGAACTTGCTGTGCAGAAGAGGGAGAGGGATGTCCATCTGCTGGGTCCACTCCCGGCGGCCAATGCTGGAGCATGCAGCACTCTGCAGTGTATGTGTGGATTGCCTGTTTGTGGCATGGCCTGGGAGTGGCTGCTGTTGTTTCAAACTGGATAGGTAGCAGACACGCTTCTGTGAAAGTGGGAAGGAAGTAGTGGTTGTACTGGAGAAGTCCATCTCGCTCCAAATCCCATTTTAGCAGTGGTCAGAGCAGTCTGTGGAAGAGCACTGTTGTATTTGTTCAAGATACTATGTTATAGGTTACATATCTCCTTTACCATGACTGTATAGTATCTTCAAAGTAGCAAGAGTTACGTTCTGATACATAGTGCTTAACATTGTTGGTGTTGCAAAATTTATTGTCTGTATATCCTGTTTATTTTTGTATTTCCTATAGGGTCTGCTTTCCCTGTTTCTAGAATTAGTGTGTTGCATAAGGGTTAGAGCATTAGGTGTAGAAGGCTCTGTGTGTGTTTGTTTCTTCTGGAGGAGTGCCTTCTGATATGTCTTATTGTCCTTCTTAGATCATCTCATGGAGCTAACCATATTGTAATTAACTTGGTGATGATCACAGATTAGTCTGCTCATTTTGGTATTAGGAAGAAAAATATTTCCTTTCCTTGTGGGACTTTGTAAAAGACTGAATAAAGTTACTTTAAGAATTGCATGGTAGCTTTATGAAGGGAGAGCTGCAGGTAAAACAGACCAAGATATTGGCACTGTATCTTCGCTATTTTTGATTTATTCAGACACCAAGTCTGGCTGCTGAATCAGTGTGAAGAATCTCATGAACCTATGTAGAGCCTCCCTGATTACATTGCAGGATTGGGGCCCAATCTTCTACTCCCTCCATGTAGGGCAGGAGTATTTTTTTCTGATGGGGAAGGAAAAGTTTTCATCTCCACTGTGTTGAGCAGTGTTTTGCTAAAAGCCAAGGGCTTAGGTCTCTTACTGTCCTGTTTTCTGTATAGTGGTCTGTCTTTGGGAAGAGTTTTTGATCTGTCAGTGACTTAACAATGGTTTACATTCTTTCTGCCTGTATTGTAGGTATTTAACAGGGTACTGGTTACTGGGAAATCATTCCTGAAAAGTAAGACTTCTCCACTGCATAGTAGCAGTGGCTGTGCTTTATGACTGAAACTAGGCATGAGTCAGAGAGTATTCATACAAAAACCAGGGGACAGGAATATACCTAGTCATGTCAGTGCCCTAAACATGTTCTATTTGCCACTGTAAGTGTGAGTGCACTATCCTTTATCTTGTATTTGTACTGACCTCTGTCTGGCCACATCCTTTCTTGAATGCCGTATTTCATTTTATTTATAAGAGAAATTAATAATTTTGGTTTTACTTATTATATGCTATTTTATTTTGTGGTTTTGCTTTTCAAACAAGGTGTCTTTACCTGTCATGCATTTCTCCTGTTATTAGTATTCTTTATTTAGTAGGTTAATTATTTTGTTCTTCAAGGGTGTACCTTTTTTTTTAAGAAATTTGCTTTTAGCTTTACGTCTTACAGAAATACCATGGTCATATTTGTAATAGTGCTGTGCACAGCTTACATTTTTGTCCATTGTGTTTTGTGACTCAGTAGTACTTAGTGTGGTGGATTTCTGTATTGTTAGGAGTTTCTTTTTTTTCCTGCTTAGTTTTTGTTGGAACCTAGATATAAAGCAAGAGACTTAGCTTGATTAAGTAACTTAGCAGTGCTCTAGTATGTTACACATGCACCACTAAGAGGTGCAAGAAATACTAGATGTGACAGTGTCTGTCTATGTTGAAAAAGTTTTACTATTTCCTGTTTTGGTCTATTTGACCATATTTACAAACAGAAATGTTGTAAGGAAAAGTTAGGCAATGTGATCCTGCTGTGATTTTGTTACTTCTTTAGTTCTCCAGATTTTGACCAGCTACATAAATGTGTCTGATATGACACTGAGACTTATGATACATTTTTCATGTGTCTGTTTTACATCTGTATGTTGTATATTTTAATTGTATTGATGTATTTTATATGTAAATATATGTTTATGCTATATTAGAACAGGATTAAGGAAACAGATTCTTTGTTAGTTCTTCATAATTAATTTTAAGAGCTGGATGTTTCTTTCTGAATAATGTAGGATATTCACATGCGTTTGGACTATTGAAGTTTAATGACATTTGCCATCGTACCAGGTTGTCTCTATTTTCACTCTTCCCTTCTACTGTTGTTACTGACAGTTTCTGCTGTTTTGTAAGTTGAACAGCAGGAGGAGCTCCAGACTTAATTCACAGAGTACGTTTTTCTGTAAATTTAGCCACAATAATTTTGTTTGTCAGCTTTCACCAAGTCTTTTTCCCGGGAAACTTGATCCTACTTCAAAAGTGTAAGTCTCGCATTGATGGTAAGAGGATAGTCTACTTTTTTTTTTTTTTTTTTTTTTTTTTTTTTTTTTTTTAAATTATGTTAAGTAGCCTCTCTGGCTTAAACCCCCACTTACAACAACGTAATGTATAAGTGGCAGGGAAAATAGATGTCAGTATAAATGTACATTTAAGAGAAACTGGAGACAAAAGTCTGAAATTCATGGTAGTAATATCTTAAAAGAAGATAGAGTAATTAGGAGAACCTCAAGAATTTTGGCAGGCTAAGGGTAATAAAACAGTGAATGCTAGAACATGCTTCAGCTTCTAACAAGTAAGAAGATGTCTAATATGTATATCATAAAAATAATATTGTTGAGTTTTAGTGCAGGCAAGTACCATAGTATTAATTAAATCCCATTTCGTCTTAGTAAGTGCAGCTGCATTTATAAATAATTCTTAAGGCGCTGATCTTGCAAAGATGTAGTAGCCTTGCTGACATCTTCCAGGTCATAAAAAAACCCCAAATGCTGGAAGAGACCTTTTCAGGTCAACTATTTGCCTTGAAGGTGGGATTGACTGTGCTTAAGCCACTTCTGACAGAGGCACAGAACTGTTCTTGAGAAGTATCAGTGGTGAGCTTAGTGTATCTGCTCTTGACTCCTGTTTCCCTAATCTTTGGTGTGTACCAGGCTGGGCTGACTTCGTTGGCTATGATTCACTGTTGGGATTTTTGCCAGAATGTTAAAGATATTATTCAATTTGCAACTGGGATGTGCTTGGAGGATATTGTATTCTGTGCTTGTCTGTCTCTTTGGGACTGCAGAAATAAATAAGACTGGCCTTGAGGATGAACAAATCAATGCCAAAATAACCCAGTTTCCTGCTGTGTAGAAAAGAGAAACCACTACAGCAGCTGCACCTCGGGGTGACCAGCTAATCAGAAATTAGCAATAACTCATCTCCTTTCTTTTTGGTACTGTACATAGGCTGCTGCCTTTAGGGGAGACTGGGCAGCACCTTTTTTTTTTTTTTTTTTCAGAGGAATAGGGCCAATACCAAGGTACCTAAACATGTCTCTGTATGTTTCAGAAGTTGCTGAAAGCCACAACTAATGTTAAAGTTTGCAAGTTACTTGTAAACAAACTTCTTTATAGATACCTTTTGTTAAATTTTTGGTTTGTTAGTTTTATGAAAGAATGTTCTCTCTTGATAAACCATGTTGAAAAATAGCCCAAACTCTTTGTGGAATATGTGAGAAAAGTGTCACTGTTAAAATTGAAAGCTGAAGTGGAAGAATAGTGCAAAATTTGAAAAGAACCAGGAGATCTTTCAACCACAGTGCTCATAGAGAAGGAAAACTTTCTATAACTGTTTATAAGCAAGGGAAGGCACGGCTTCTATTAAATTAACTAATGTAGCTGCAAAAAAGTAAATTTAATTTACCAATCACTACGGTAGTGTACTAAGCTTTTTGGAGGAAAACCTGAAAGTTATGAAAAAGGTTTGTTGTGAAGCAGAATTCAAGCTTCAAGAATTATTTCTTGAACATTGTGGAAGGACAAAGAAATTGTTGTTGATTTGAAACCAAAGTCAAATCTAAAAGTTGTGCACAGTGTTGATACCAAACCAATATTCCAGATTACCCTCTGACCTCC